GTCACACCTGGAAAGCGAATGAATATTCTGTTGAGATCCTCCCCTAAACTCCCAGCCTTTGGAAACTAGAGAAAACTCTCGAGACCAAGGACCCAGTGCTCTCTTGCACGTGTGCATGCTCTCTCTCTCCCCGTCTGCGTTTCTCAAAGCGCAGAAGGACAGGGTTCGGAGAGCCTCCAGGCTGGTGAACGCGAGCAGGTGCTGGGGGAGTGGTGTGCTCACAGAAAGTCTGAACTCTTATCCTTACAGAATAAGCTAGTAAATGTAAGCAAATGTTTCTCTGAGTTCCAGGAGCCGCTCTAGCAAATCAGTTGAACTCAGGGAGGGGGTGGTGGGAACCTCTGATCTACAGCTGGCTCGTCAGAAGCACAGGGGCGCAACCTGTTTGCGGCTGGTATTGAAGTGGGGGTTGTGGGGGCAGTCTTGTGAGACTGAGTCCTTAATCTGCGTGATCTGGTGCTGTTTCAGGGCCGAGATAGTGTCAACGTCGAATTGGTTGCTAGTTGGTGTGAAAAAGAAGAAACCACTTTGGAGGACCAGCCCCCCCGTGTTTGCCCATCAGCCTCCTCAGCAGCTCCTTCCCCTCCTTAAGGAGTTTTCCAGGAAAGGTTTCTAGGGTGACTCAGACTCTCATTGGACTACAGCTTTTGTTCTCTCTGCCACAGCAATTATGGCCCCATGTGATTGAGTAATTAGTGATGTCATTATTTGCTTAAGGATGGTCTTTCCTGTTAGAACGTAAGCCCCGTGAGGGCGGGACCGTCTGCTGTGGTCCACTATTGGCCCCTCGCTGGCTCTCAGCAAATCGTTGTTGAGTGCAAAAGGTAGGGACCCATGCTTGTGACCCCAAGACCCCGAGCAAGGCCTGCTCAGAGGGAATTTGCTGGAGGCTCACTGTGTTCGAGGCTCTTTAGACCCTGTGTACACCACCTCACTTACCTCACGATAACCCTCCGCGTTACAGGGTAGGAAACGGAGGCCCACCAGGGCTACGTAGCTTGCCCAAGGTCACAGGGGCAGCGGGTGACCCGTGCCATGATCTTATCCCATGTCCATAGTGAGTCGAATGGTGACCCCTCAAAATTTAGTCCCGTGTTCTAATCCCCAGAACCTGTGAGTGTGAATTTACTTGGAGAAAAGGGTCTTTGCAGATGTAATTAAGTTAAGGATCTCAAGGTGAGGTCGTCCTGGATTAGGGTGGGGTCCCCCATTCAATTGCAAGTGTCCTTAGAAGAGACGGGTGGGGGTGGGGGCAGGGGGGGGGGGGGGGGGGAAGAGCGGGACACGTGAGAGGGCAGAGCTATGAGGGCAGAGCTGTGAGGGCAGAGGCAGAGGGCAGAGTCCTGCAGACACACACCAATGTGTGTCGGGGACTGGCTGCCACCCCTGGGCGCCAGGAGAGAGGCACTGAGCAGACTGCCCCTCGGCCTCCAGAAGAAACCCGCCCTGTGACACCTTGACCTCAGACTTCCGGCCTTTGGAGCCGAGTGAGAACCCAGTTTGGTCGTGTTTAGCCACCTCAGTTGTGGCGGTGTGTCACGGCAGCCCGGGGAAACTCACATAGACCCCACACCGTGTGGCCACCTCGCCTGGGGTCTCCTTGCTGGGCCTGGAAGGGAGGGGTCACAGAGCCGCCAGCCGTGTGACTGTGGTCTGGTCACTTACCTTCTCTGGGCCTGCCTGCTCTGTGGCAAGGCAAGCCCTTGAGACACCCGCGCCCCTCCGACCCTGGCCGCCTACATGGAGCTCTCAAGGATGACCATGAGCCAGCTGAGCAGGGCTATGTTGGGATTTTCAGATTTATTCCAACATGCTGTTTTTTTTAAAAAATATCCTCAGGCCGAACACTCAGCCAGAGCTGTAATAAAGGCAATTATTATACGTGTAAAAACTTCTCATTCACAGTACAGGTGTAGTTTACAACAAAGGTCACACACATCAATACCGAGCGCTTTCTTCCTCTTGTATGGCAGACTCTGTGCTTTAGACCTGTGTGGATTTTTTTTGTTGAGTTTTTTTTCTTTTGCACTGATATATACCATACCAACATTGCAAGATGCAAGTATAGAAACTGGAGATTAAATAAAATTACAGGCAAAACTACCCCCTCCCAGTGTGGTTGCTGTACATATCTACAGTACGATTTTTAGAATGTATTGCCGTTTAAGAACATAGAAACTCTCTACAGACAATTTCACGGACGGAATACATACACCTTTTAGATGAAAAAGGCAAATATTTATCTTACAGAGAGCGTGTATCTTACATTTGCCGACACGTTTCCTTTTCCCGTTTCACTTCTTTTTTTTTTTTAACACTAAACTGAGTAAAGGGATCGTAAGTGCCAGAGCAGTGTTCTAATGGGAAGCAGACTGGACTCACGACACAGAAGCAAAGTGCCCCGTGTGAGACAGGCCTCGGGGACGGCCTCCCCGGTCAGTGCTGTGGGTCTGTCCTCAGGATGGCTGTCCAGGCAGGACCTCTGCTGAACAAGGATTTGTCGGAAGAAGGGTCTGGAGAGGAGCCCGAGCTCAGACATATTGCTTGTTTCTGTGTAAGAGGGCCAGGCGGGAGTGGAGCAGGGCTGGGAGAGGTCAGGAAGCTAATTCTCCCAGACTTTCCCCTGCAGAGCACCCGTGGGTCTGGGAGGTGCAGGTGGGAGAGCGAGCAGTCCACTGCCTCAGGCGGTGCAGGGGATCTCGGTGGGTGGGGAGGGCCCTGGGGCAATGCGCCTCAGAGAAAAACTGGGTTGGTATCCAGAGTGACCTTGAGCTTGCTGAGGGTGAAAGGTGTTCTGGAGGGTGGGCCTGGGGCCATTGGCTTAGAACCCCCAACAGAAGGCAAGGGTTGTCTGCAAAACCTCAGCATGTGTTCCTCACCACCCCCCAACCTGGCCAGCACCCGCCGAGGACCAGAGCTGGCCTGTGCTGAGGAGCGACTGTCCCCACATGTTCACAGAGCGAGCAACAGGTGCCTGTGCCAACCAGCCAGCGCTGCTCCCACCACCGCCGCCCCCTCAGCTCGGACAGCAGGGTCACAGGCAAACCGGAAACACGGATGTGGCCGGGAGCAGGGCCGGGGCCTGGGAGCGGCATGCAGTGAGAGTCTCTTTCCAAGTTATGAAGCTGTGTGGGGGCCGGGCCCTGTGCTCCAGGAGTGGGAGGGGCATCTGGCAGGGGCGTTAGGGCTATGCCCAGGGACACAGGACACAGGACCAGACTGGTGGCATCGACTCCGTCTCTCTGAGCACCTGTGTGGGGTGGCAGCCCTTAGGCCAGATCCTGTTTGTGGAATGTATCTCTGTTACTGAGAGATGGGTGTCCGGGACTCCTGGTCTCGGTCCGCTCTGCCTATGCCTGTGGCCTGAGTGACCATGAGGACTCTCCCCTGCTGGCCACACCATCCATGTCTGCACCTTCCAGGAGGGAAACCTTGTGGGTGGGCCGTCTGAGTACAGAGGGAACGGTGCCCAGGGGAGGTGGGGGCGCAGAGCAGGGGAGGGGTGCGAGCACCCCCAAAGTCAGGGGCTAATCCCGCAGAGCACCCAGTCTGCGGCTTTGTGGCTCTGGGACTGGAAGATCGGGCCCAGGGAGATTTCAGACCTGGGCTGAAGCAGTGCCTTTATCCAGCTCCCAGGCCTCAGCGCTTGAAGTCCCTAGTCCAGGGGTGGGACTGAGAGAGGAGGGCAAGGAAGGACCTGGTCTGGGCCTGGGCTGATGCTGCCTGGCTCTTTTCCACGCCCTGCCCGGCCGAAGCAGCACTGCTGCTGTGGTCAGGGCCCAGCGTGCTGGCCTGCTCCCAGGGTGGGCGAGAGTCCTGAACACTGGGTTGGGCAGCTGAGAACTGCTGAGAACTGCTTGCTAATCCCACCCCAAGCACCGTGGAGCCCATCGGCCCCCAGGAGACCCTTTCCCTCGTTCCCCCTTTTTGTCTTAGCTCTGAGTGAGGTCAAAGGAAAATGAACCAGTTGGTGCGGTGGAGGCTGGGCCAGTGACTGGTGTGTCTACCCAGCAGGGGCCAAGCAGGGCAGGGCCCTAGACTGGAGGGAGAGGGAGTTACGGCTGAGCTGGGGAGCTCACAGCAGCACAACCCTCTCCACCTTCCGGGGTCCGTCTGAGCAGCAGCGCAGGAGCGCTCTGCAGGTGCGGCATTCCCTCCGCCTGGCTGTGGGCTGGGGGCCAGCCCGGGAGTCCCTGCTCTGCCCCGTGGCCTCGGTGCCCAGCCTGGGTGGCAGCAGGGGAGGCACGTGCTTTCTCCCCCTTGGAGAAACTAAAGACAATATCTGGAGGGTTGGGGGAAAACCCTCCTCTTCCAGAGCAGGGTAAATATTCTGGAGTTCAAATTCCACATTTAAACTTGAGATTTTAATTTCTGGCCGTGTTATTTTTCTCACAAAGCAGGTTTTTGCCCCAGTAAAGGCAGGGCAGCTTCTTGGAGGAGGACGTGGGGGTGAGGATGGGGGCTCTAGCTGGAAATGACCGCTTTGGAAAAGGATTGAAGTGACTCAGGACATTGAAACGCCCCCAGGTCAGGAGACTCTGGGGGGTCTGGGGGCGGTATCCAGCAGCATCCTTTCTTCCCACCGCCCTGAGGGGAGTGGCGGCCTGGCAGTGTGGGGGCTCGGGGAGGGGAGGGGGGGACCAGTCCTGCAACCGCCCTGTGCTGAGCCCTGGAGAAACCCAGTGGGGAAGGGAAAGGGCCCTTTGAACCCCATGGACCAAATGTGAAACGAAACTCAAGCCCCAGCTTCTGGAATAGCAAGGTTCTGCACCTTGGATCTTGACCCTGGGGGCTGGGCCCTGCCACTCCAGCCTTGAGAGTGGTTTCCAGAACAAGGCAGACAGCCTGTGGCCAGGGCCCTGAGAGCAAGGCCTAGGTCAGGTGCTCAGGAAGCAGGAGATGGATGGTCAGAGCTCCTTTCCCAGCCCAGGGTGTGGGGGTGGGGCTGTGGGGTGTGGGGGTGGGGCTGTGGGGTGTGGGTGTGGGGCTGTGGGGTGTGGGGTTCCACTGCTCAAAGACCAGAACGGACCCAGGTCTCAGACCACCTGGGCATCTGGGAGCCCTGGCCTGGGGGAACCAACCAGCTCCCTCCTACCTTCTGCCTGCTATTATTTTGTGTTGAAATCCTAGGAAAGGAAACAGTTTCTTTTTCTTGGGAAAAAGAAAGTTGGAATTTTCTGGGCTTGCCCGTGAAGACTGAGTGGAATCTCCCTGCCTGCGTCTGTGTCCCTCTGTCTGGGGCCACCGGCCCCTCTGCTGGCATTGAGGGGTGACCGCTAGCCAGGGCGGGCTACAGTGGCAATAAACCGGACATAAACGTCTGTACATAGAAGTGCTTGCTTTTGCATTTAATTATATATTTTTTAAAGTTTTTTTTCTCCCTCAGTGCATCCTCTATCCCTCAGCAAATGGCCGCCTCTTGCCAGCCTCGCAGGGTGGCTGCTGACCCCCGCAGTGGAGCGTGAGGCCCCCCTATACCATTTCTGAAAAAAGCACAAAATATTCACAGCCTCAAACTCCTCGTGGGTTTTTTTATGTGTGTGTATGTTTTGTTTGTTTCTTTTCAAGCAACAAAAGGTACAGAAAAAGGCACAGGTAACTGCATACATGAAGGTACAACCGAGGGGGCTGAACAGAGGCTGCTGGGACATGGGGACAGACGGAGGGCAGCCCACGAGAGCAAGGTGGTCGAGGAAGCTGGCTGGAAGCGTCTGTTGCCGAACACCGGGAGCCAGATGCTGCAGCTGTCGGAGAGCGGCTAAGTGCTCGGAGAGCCCCTGTCCTCGGGCTGGTGCGCCGGCGCCCTGGGCCCCCCACTTCCCGAGGGCTCGGAGGGGCCCTGACTGGTCCTGGGTTCCCCAGAGAGGTTCCTCCTCTGGGCCGGGAAGCGAGTGGTGGCCTCTGCCAGGCAGCCCACAGGACTGCTGCAGTCCAGCGGTGGAGCAGCGGAGGCCGGGGGGCTGGCCAGTGTGTGCGGCGACTCCACGTGGGGGCTCCAGGACCCTGCCTGGCGGCCCTGGGGTGGCTGGAGCGAGGCCTCGGGCAGGGCGTGGGGGCTGTGTGTGGGCGCGGGCTCTGCAGACACCCCAGCCTCATGGGCCTCCCGGTCGGGAGGTCTGCCTGGGCCTCTGCTCGTCCTGTCCCTCTCCCTGGGGCAGTCCCTGCCCTCCAGCTCCGAGGACAGTGTGAACTTGGAGACCTTAGCCACGGGGGACACGGAGGCTGACGAGCTCTCGGTGGGACTCCAGCGGCCTCGCTCCTGGGCCTCCCTGGCCCCTGTCAGGTCGCTGCCACCCCCTGAGAAGCCACTGACCCAGGTGGGCCCCGGCAGCAGGGTGGGCTGGGCCCCGGGCCGGGCCTGCACCATCTGGATCCCGCCGATGGGAATCAGGGGGCATGGGGCGCGGGCCAAGTGCTGCGAGTGCAGAGGGAGGTGGCTGAAGACGTTCTCTGTCCGGGCTGGGGTGTGGCCGTGGAAGTCATGGGGGGCGGAGAAGGGTCGGGAGGAGATAGGATGAGCAGGGCCAGGTGAGCAGGAGGGACTTCGGGGCTCTGCCTTCTGCTGGGGTCAGAAAACAAGACAAGGTACGGCCAGGTTATATGCTAGTCCACGGACACCTCGAGGCCTAAAAGGGAACGGGGGGGCCTTGCCCGAGGTCACAGAGCAAGTCCCGGCTCCCTGCCCGTGAGACCCCCTGTGCACGCGCCCTCTCTGCCACGGCGGGCGGTCCACAGACGCGCACTGGCCGGGAGCACACGCAGGCCGCGCGCGTCACACCTGCGGCCAGTGCGCGTGCCTGTGGGGGCTGGGGGTGCTCCGGGGAGATGGGGTGCTATGGCCCCCACGCGCTGGCCCTCTATCTGGGTTCTGCGGAATCTCCTGTTCCTACAATGGCCTTGACCCAACTTTAACCCTGGACCTGAGTTCCCAGTCAAGGCTCCTGACCTTCACCCACCACCAGGAATTTAATGTGACCCCAAAATTAAAAATGCAGAGACTTCTATGTCATGCTCCTCCAGAAGCTTGAATCCCTGGTGAGGGTGTCGATGCTGCTGGAGTGAAGGGCTGTGTGGGGCCATGACACACGGTGACGGTGACGGTGACAGGAGGGATGTGGGATGGGGGTGGGGGGTGGGGGTGGAGGGAAGTTAACAATGGTGGTGCTCTCAGGGCTGGGGATCACGACGGCACTGGTGGCAGGGACAGTGGTGACAACAGCAGTGACTGCTGCTGATGTGGCAGCCCTGACCGAGCTGACGGAGTGGCGGAAATGGTGTGCCGGAGTGCCATGACGGCTGAGAGGGTGTTGGCGATGGTGACAGTGACGGTGCTGAGGGTGTGACGGGGTGGCATTGGCTGTGGCATCTCTGAGGATGCTGGTGACAGTGATGCTGAAACGTGGTGATTTAGGATAAGCTCTGCCGTCTGCTCAAAGAACACGTGGGGATAGGGAAGGGGACGGGGTGGGAGGGCACAGGCACAGGGCCGGCTCCCAAGTCCACGCTCTGCAGCTGCTGAGGCTAGGTCAGCTGGCCTCAGGCGCCCGGCATGGCGCCTGGCACAGAAGGTGCCCCTCGAACGTCTGCTGAGTTATTAGGGACTGCCGTGCGGGCGGGGCTGTTTAGCTCCAGGCCTGGCGCCTCAGGGGAGAGCGACACTGCAGCCCCCCACCCGCTGGAAGGAGCGAGAGGCCCAGCCCCTCCGGGGCAGGAACTCACCCATGTGGAGGCACAGGTCTCGGGGCTTCTGCCAAGAAGCTTGTGAGGTAGAGGCGCGGGCCGGTAGAGAGCCCGCGGGGCCAGCCCCGAGCGTGGGCCGCACTCACCCGCCGAGGGGCTGCCCGGCCCAGCCAAGGCCCACTTCCCCAGCAGCACGGACCGTGGTGGTGACTCAGCCTGGCCTGGTGACGGTCTCCTGGTGGGCGAGTGTCGGGGGATGCCTGGGTCTGCAGTGCCCTCATGTTCGGGGGGCAGATGCACTCGAGGGGGCAGCTCCCTTCTCAGGGGCTGGGGGGAGAGAGGAGACAGCTCAAGTCTTGGAGACCCACAAGGGAGAGGGCCGGTCTGGGAGCCAGGCGGGCTCCGGGCCGAGGCCTGTGGCTCTCGGGCCGGTGAATGTCTCTGGGGAGATGAGTCGCTTTTGGTTAGTGGGTGTTTGTGGGCAAGTGGTGAGCGGCTGCTTGCTTCTTTGCCCGGGGACCACGGCCTTCTTGGGGACAAGGCCTTAGAGCTCAGGGCTGAGCTTGTGTCCTTCTCCATGGGGCCCGAAAGGGCTGGTCCCAGCCGGGGGAGGCACAGAACGCTTTGGCTGGACGTGGAGCAACCTCCTGCTTCTGAGACTGAGCCGCCCCGTGTGGCCTGGCTGCTAGAGGTGGCGTCTGGGGGCCGCGGGTCCCGAACAGGTGAGGAGTCTGCGGGCAGCGAGGCGGGCGGGCACGGCAGGCGTGCCTCTGAGGACGGTCCTGGTGGCTCGTCCTGGCTCTCATCCTCGTCCTCATCCTCGTCGTCATCCAGGTCTGAGTCCGAGCCCGAGTCCTCCAGGTCTGAAAACCGGTGCTCCGCCACCGCCTCTGAGCCCTCCTGCCCTTCTGAGTCCTGGAATGGGTCGTCACTGGTTCCTGCGGGGCGAGCACAGGAGGCCCGGGGTCACAGCTGGCCCCACGGCTCCTCCTGGCCAAACCCCAGTGTCCTCGTCTGCAGACTGAGCCTGAGAGCCATGGCAACGGCACAGGATCATTGGGAGGACGAGGGACACGACAAACAGGGGACACTTTGCAAATAATCACAGTGAACAAATTACCTCGCACCGACCATGTGTCGGGTTAGGTTCTAAGGGCTTCATGGGCACTCACTCATTCAGTCCCAACAGCCCCGTGAGGGTGGCACTATTCTTGTCTTCACGTTACCAGTGGGGAAACCGAGGTAAAAGAGATTGAGTGACGAGCCCGAGTAAGGCAGGTAGAGAGGCTGGATTGAAGCATAGCGAGTAAGACAGGCCTCTTTTTGTTGTTCTGATTTTTTTGTTAATACACCAGCACTGGCTCTGCCACGAGCAGGCGAATCCCCTTGCTGTGCCTCAGGCTCCCTGTTTGTCAACAGAGAGTGACGGTCCCACCTCACAGGATTCGACAGTGAATGCATACCTACCACATGGCGAGGGCTCCACTGATTATGCTCTGTTAATATGGCCGTGAAGAAACCGATTACTCTGGGACACGGCAGCCATGCTGGCCAGTCCAGCAGCACGGGGCTCGGTTTGTCTAAACGTGCACCTGCCGCCACGGCCAGGCTGCTGCTGGACGCTACGGCTGCCTCCGGCAGGTGGCAGGCCCTAGCCTCTGGGGGTTTGGCCAAACGGGCCTCAGGTGGCAGAGCAGGGCCCCATCCTAGCAGTACCTGCCCAGAGGACCTGCTGCTCCTGTAGAAACCTAAGCTGCTCCCAGTCGGGGCGGGGGAGTGGGGAGGGGAGCTTCAAAATATCAGCCTCCTAGTCTGGCTTCCGGTAGGGCAGCCCCAGCCAGCTGAGTCACCTCCAACACGACACAGGTCTCACTGGGGCAGGAATGAAGCTGGCAGCAATCAGGACTCTGGGGGAGCTCCACTAACATCGGGCCCCCTGGCAGGCTCCTGAAGGTCTGGGTCCCGCGAGCCCATCTCCACACTTATCGCTAGTCCCGCCACCTCACTCGGACATGCCAGCACCCATTCCACTACTGAACGGGAGAATTGGACACATGCGCGAACTCAGGCCACCTGTGCACCCGGGCTTCTGAGCCCTGCCACGCCAAGATGCCCCGGGGCTGGAAAGTGCAGCATTCACACATTCAAATAGCTCAACATGCAACAGTAAGATGCATGAAATGAACGACAGTGGGCATTCAGGAGGATGTAGGTCAAAAAGCTCTGGGCGGAGCTGGGGCTAGCAGGTGCAGGGAGCAGAGTGATGGGAGCGGGGAGAGACCTGGGAATGGGAAGGGAGCAGGGATGTAGGAGGGAGTGGGGGTGCAAGTATGCTTTGCAGTTTTGCCCCCACCCCCAACCCAGGCATTGCTATCCCTGACCAAGACTTGAGTGGAGGCTGCTTTAGCCTCTGGAGCTCACCTGGCCACTTGAGGAAATCCAGGCTAGAGGGGGGCAAGAGGGGCTCTTCCAGGATCACCCCCCAGGTAGTGGCCAAGTCAGAACTAAGGTTTACAACTCTTGCATTACTGTACTGCCAGTTTAAAAAATATTTTATGCCTCAAGAAGTAGAAAATGGTCTGAATTTGAGTCTCAGCTCCACCTCGTCCTTGCTGTGTGATGTGGGATAACTTACTCTCTCTCTCTGTTCAGCTTTCTCACCTGTACAAAGGGGGCATGAGTAATAGAAGCCACCACATGAACCTGTGGGGAGGACTGCAAGGATAGGACACAGTAAGGACCCGGTAGACCTCAGCTATCATCTGTCTCAAGTACCCAGGGCTCAGCAGACAGCCAGCATTATGACCATTTTGCAGTTGAGGTCAGAGGGAGAGTGGGGACCAGGGTCTCCTGACATCCAGCAAAGAAGGCTCCTAAAGACCGCCTTTAAGGACAAGGAAGTTGAGGCTCATGGCAGGGCAGTGGTCTGCCCTAGACACCTGTTGCCTGGTGGTGGAAGCCAAGGGTCCTCTGCCCAGAGCAAGGTTTGCCAGACCCCCCACATCTGGGCTCCTGCAGGGCTCTATGGCATGCCCCTATCCTGGGGGCCCATTCCTAACGCCCCAAGGAGCAGCGGGCCACTGCTGGGATACCTGCCTGCTCCGGGGCCTGGGAGGGACGGAATGAAGAGTGAAAGGGCGCTCACGAGTTTCGGCCACACGGTGGCGCTAGTGCTCAACCTCTAAAGACCAGGGCGGGGCTGGGACACGGCCGGAACTCGTAGGCAGCGGATCCTCAGCTCTACTCCTGATTACTATTTGGTGTCCAACAGGCAGGCTCCTCCCGGAATCTCCCTCACCGTGGGGAGTGGCAACTCCACCCTTATAGCGTCTTAAGCTACAAACCTCAGACTCATCCTTGGCTCCTTTTTTTCTGATGTTCCCCCCCACCACCCCCGGCCCTCACGTGTCAGCAAAACTTGTTGACTCTACCTGAAGAACGCAGCCAGAATCCGACCACTTCTCCCCACCTCCACTCAGCTCACCCGGTCCAAGCCAAGTGGTACTCAGCAGCGCCCCCTACCGGCCGCCTTTGGTATAAAGCCAGAGTCATGAAAAGTCATGGAAGGTCACTTTTAGGGACAGTCAAGTCTGGCCGACCCTTGGCTTCCTTCACCCAGACACAGGTATCTAGGGCAGACCACTGCCCTGCCCTGAGCCTCAACTTCCTCGTCCTTAAAGGGGGTCTTCAGGGACCTTCCCTGCTGGATATCAGTAGACCTTGGTCCTGACATCCCCCCTGACCTCAACTGCAAAATGCTAAAAATGCTGGCTGGCTTCACACCATCCCTACAGACAGAGGCCCCTCCCCACACTTCCCAGCTCCTCCCGTACAGTTTTTGCTTCATTCTCATTGCCCCTGCCCAGTACACGCGTTCATTGCCCACCTTCCCTCTAAAATGTAAGCATCTCGAGGGCAGACTCTCCAGCACAGAAGACGGCTGGGACAGGGTTGCTGCTCAGATATTGTTTCTGTAGGTTTCATCCTCAGATAAGGTGGCTACGGTCATCCTTTTTGCCGCACTGGGAAAACGAGGCTGGGAGAGAGTCAGGGACCAGCCCAGGGTCCCACAGTTGTCCCCTGGTGTGGTGGCACTCATCCCCACTCGGCTCCCACCCGGGAAGGGCTCAGGCTCCCGCCTGGCTCCCAGGAAGTGGGGTTGACATGGAGCCAATGCTTGAAGTCAGGCGTTGCTTTTTATCTGTCTGAGCTTTCCTTTCCTCTGCTTACAATGGGCAACACGAGTTTCCACCACCAGTCCCAAGGACTCAGTGAGACTCCTGTAAATAGCCTGACAGACATTCTTGATAAGAATGGTAACCTCATTCTTTGTTTTGGGGGAGCAGTCCCAAGTTCATTCAATACTAGTGATTTATTTCACCCAAAAGAGAGTATGATCCCTCTTGCAGTGAGGCTGCACTCTCTCATTTGTGAGACTGCAAATGTATCCCCAAATCAGACAAACAAAAGCAGAACACACACACACACACACACACACACACACACTCTAAATCCTGATTCTGATTTTAGGAAATCTGGTCAAAGGTTTGCCAGGTGCAGGAGGAATGCCTATGGCCTCCCCTGTGTTGGGGGCACTGCCGGTCCACTTGCCAAAGCCCCTCTGGCCTCCTCCTTGGGTGCCGAGGCTGGACGGTGTCCAGCCAGACCCACTGCCTTACACTCACCTTTTTCCTCTGCCCTTTCTCCCCAGAAACTGGTTCTGATAATATGCTTCTTGCTAATGAAAGACTACGGCTGGGGTGTGGTGCTGGGGTGTGGGATGGGAGGGGGAGGCGACAGGTCTGGCCTTGGCTCTCTTCAAGCCACCAGCTCTGAAGGGCCCAGGGGTCAGTCTCCCGCCCTGAGTGTGTAGGTGTGAGTGTGGGTATGGAACACATGTGCGTACCATATAGTGTCATGGTGAGGGTTTGCTGAGAGAATAGTGGCATGTGTTTAGAACATGCCTGACATATAGTGGGTGCTGTTAATGCTGACAAGGATTACTCATGTATTAACTTACTCAACACACATTTGTTGAGTGCCCTCGAGCGCAAGACCATAACACACAATAGTTATGGCTGCACAGGACGTACTCTCAGAGTATGGGGAGGGGGGTGATCAGGCTGTGAATTTAACCCAGTCTCCCAGTAACTGGGAGGACTGGAGGAAAGGGCATGGAAGGGGGAGCGGGGAGGGGGAGAGGAAGCAGGGGAGAGAAGGACAGAAAGGAAGGGGATGGGAGAGGGAGAGGTAGAGGAGCAGGTGGTAGAGCAGGAGGGGGTGTTGGGGAGGACAGGATAAAGAAGGTTGGCAATTTGTTACCTTCTTCGGCTTCCAGCTCCTCCAGCACCCCCGTCTCTTGGCACTTTTTGCTGTGGGCCTTCGACTTCATGTGCTTAGTCAGATTCCCTGGAAAGGAACGAGAACAGACTCAGGCTTGGCTGGAGGACAGGGGCCAGGGCAGGCCCAGGGCACACAGAGGCAGCACCTGGCTGGCGGGCCATGGCTTCTCAGACCGGCTGAGGCCCTGCCAGCTTCCAGGGCTGGGCAGGGGCCTGCACTCAGGCTGGGATGTGCAGCCACAGCCACCATTCAAAGCTGTATATGGGAGGTGGGGGCTGGGGGCCGCTGTGAGGGGACTCGGGGTATAATGAGAAAGTATGAGATGCTGGTTAAAAAACAAAAAAGAAATTAAAAGACATCTCACGTGCAATAGATTTTCCTGCTTTTGCTTTAAGTTTGGGCCCGGGGACCAGTGGCACTCATTAAACAGGATGATTGGCTTGGGCACTGAGGATGCCCTTCCACCTGAGGTGACTTCCAGGGCAGGCCACAGGGAGCCACGGGGTCGGGGCCCACGCCCTGACTCCCTTAGAGAAGTAATGCCCTGGGCCTCAGTTTTCCCCAGGTGACTGCCTGTTCCATGCCTGCAGAGTGCTCAGGGGCTGGCGAACTGCCCCAAGTGGTCAGTCCAGCCCACGGCTGATGGGCAGGGGCAGCTGCTCGGTGAAATCACAACAAAGGTACCAATACCTTCAACGTCCACTGCCCACAACATGTGCTCAGCACTTCAAAGGCCACGGAGCCCTGGGGGGAGCGCCCTGTGAAGGAGAAGCAGAGCTCCACCAGCCCCAGCTGGCCAGCCCCAGGGGGCTGCAGGCCAGGAGCCTGGCTGTGTTCCTTCGGGCCCGGCCACCATGCGACGTGTGCACTGCCTGTCCGTGGACCGTTCCACTCCCGCATGGTGGTTCACACTCCAGACCACAAGTGCCCCGAGTTGGGTGCTCTGTCTCACTAGTCTTACTAATTGGTGAGTTTGAATGGATGGACAGAAGAAAGAACAATGGACACGAGAACAGATGAATAAGAGAGGCTGGTGGGCAGGTGGGTGGATGGATGAATGAGTGGATGAGAGGAAACGGAAAGTGAAAGAAGGGCAGGAAGAGAAGGACAGATGAATGGGATGCTGGATGATTAGATGCGCAGATGGAGAGACAGATGGGGATAAATTAGTAGATGAAAAAATAAACAAGAGGATAGACGGAAAATGGGTCAATAAGCAGATGGGAGGCTGGAGAACTGGGTCGGAGGATGGAAACGTGAGTGCGTGGGGAAATGGCTGGTTGGGTGGATGAAGGGGCACACGTGTGTGCACGCATGCACATGCACACATATGTGCACACAGGCGCACACACATGCACATGCACACACGGGAGGTCGGCGGGCAGGAGGACGAAGGAATGGGAGGGTGCGTGGAAGGGTGGACTGGTGGGGGGCCAGATGTGCGACGGGGAGGAACAGGGAGGGTGAGGGAACACTGGGAGGACGTGTGGACGGGAAGACAGACTGCCAGGGCGAGGATGGGAGGAGCAGGTGACAGGAGGGTAGACGATGGGCAGGTGAGCAGGGTGAGAGCCCATGATGAACTGAAGGGTGATTCTTAATCATTTGGAGAATTTTAAGGAACCTTTAGGCTTTTGCTGGGAGGGTAATGGGAACGTCAATCTGGGGATTTCCGGTGGGGAGCAGGCCTGGGGCGTCAGGGAAGGGAGGGGAGCTGTTTCTCTTTCCCCATAGTCCGTAACCGGCTCTTTGCCATCTCTGATTTTCCTCCTATGACTGGACAAAAACCAGGATCTTTCACTGTGGCCAGAGGGGGAGCAGAGTCATAGCTTCCAGGGTCATCCCAAGGCCGAAGGGTTCCCAACGGCCGATACTCAACATCAGGGGCCCCGCCCTCACTGCCATGAGCAGGCCACGCCCGGGGCGGGGATGTCAGGGCCAGAAAAGACACTGGGGTCTTCCGCTGGCCCGAGACACAAACTGTCTCCTACGGTTCGGGGACCGACCTGCCATGCCCCAGCTTCCCTAGACCGCAGAGGGCTGTGGACACTGCCCGTTCTGGCTGCGACGTGACTGTTGTCCATGTTCTGCCTGGAAGGTTCAGGTCTCTTTTTGACTGAGTTAGCTGCTGAGCACGCAGTGGGCGCACAGCAGCCTCATGTGGGGAGCGCTCTTTTCATCACAGAAGCAGAATCTTGGGAGGAACCTCACGGACCACGGAACCCAATCCCCAGCAGGCCCAGGGTTCCCAGCTTTCACTCTAACTCCTGCTCCTAGTGCTGACGGCACCATTAGACAGGCCGCTGACAGTCTCCGCTGCTGGGCTGCCCCACGAGCGCTCCTGGTGACCTGCACGGCGAACCAACCAGCCAAGGTGCAGAGTTGGTGCAGAGCCCCGTCTGGAACCAGGTCTCAGGACTCCAGGGGCCTTGCTGCTCCACATGGCTGCATGGAACCCAGCTGGTCTAGGAGCTTGATGGCTTTGGGTTTGAGTTTGGCCTCTGCCACTTGCTCTCTGTGTGCTCCTGGGCAAGTTTCTTAACTTTCTCAGCCCCAGTTTCTACAACTCTGAAGTAATACCCACCTCTCAGGGTTGCTGGTCGGTTGATGGGAAAGCATATGTAGGTGACAGCAGAGTGTGCCTGGCAGAGAACAGACGCCCACCACATGGGACCCCCTTCCTTCCAACACCATACAACACCTCCCCTGCCGCCCTCCGAGACGATCACTCTTTACTGAGCACCAGGGACTCCACACATGCCACCCCAAATGTGGAGGACAGAGATGCTGAGATGATGCTGGTGATGCAGATGGCTTTGCCCTTCAGTCTGGGCTCCGGAGTTCTCAGGAGAAGGTACCAGACAGCCCCGGGAGGACTGCATTCCTCCACCCCCACCACTGGGGCTTGCAGGGGGAGTCAGGGAGTCCGAGGCGGCTTTGCCTGGAAAGGCTGTGAGGGTTCCAGGAGCGAACTCTGGATGAGCAGCCCTGGCCCTCCCTGACTTCCTCTCCCGGCCGGCCTCCTCCGCTGAACTGAGGGAGGTATACCAGATGGCCGCAGGTGTCTTTTGAAGCCTGGACATCACTTCTCTGTCAAAGGGCAGAGCCTTGCCATGCAGAGTCCTCAGCTTCTCCTAGTCATCCCAGGCCCCTCCCACCCCACCCCCTCCACCAAAAGTCTGGCAGTCCTGGAGTGAAGGAGGAAAGGCAGGTGGAGGGAAAACGATGGGCATCTGGAGGGGAGGCAGAACCTCCACTAGGAGCATTAGCCGATGACCCTGTCTGCCTAGTTTGGCTTTGACCAGCCACCCTCCCTCTGCCCTGCAGACTGATGGACACAAGGCCTTCCCACAACTGTCAGCTCTGTCCCCTGAGGCGATCGGTGCAAGCCACCCCCTTGGCCTCGGAAACCATCTGAGAAGAGGAAATGGGGCCCCCAGACCTCCACAGGGACCTCCTGGTGGGCCTTTGCCACCTCCCCCACTGACCCCCCTCAGCTAGTGCCCAGGCGCCCGAGCTGCCACCACAACGTCTGACACAGAGACGGAGACAGAGACAGGCAGACAGAGACGAACGAGAGGGGTTCTCCAGGCCTGGGCGCAGTCAGGTGGTGGGGACGGCGGGCGCTGAGGACCACCAGGCCCAGCCTCAGCCCTCCCCAGCCTGGCTGGGCCTGAGCCCCAGGGGGAGGGGGAGGGGAGATGGAGGCTGCCCCATGGGGGCTGCGAGCTGTGAGAGGAGGGGACCCATGGCATCTGAGTGATGGCTGAAGGAGGGCACGTGGCCCAGGGAGGAGCAGGAGTCCTGTGCCTTCCCCGATCCCCCGAAGTTCAGAGAGCGCCGAGAGTGAGCTTTCTCTGCGTCGACCCAGTCCCAACCTGCCCCGCTCCATGGTCACAGAGTTTGAGATTGCACCATTTCTGATTTGCTCACTGCTTTGGCTCTGGAAGGTGCTGTCTTCTGGAAGGCTCTGTGAGCATTTGAGGAGCACTCAGCACATCCCCTGATCAGTGGTTGGAGCAAAGTCTCCACCCCGGGCCTGCAGGGTGGTGGGGACGCGGCCTGTACGCCCATGTGTCTGCCTCCGGGGCACGTGGAGGGTCTGCCGTCCCTCTGCTCAGGTTGTGTGCTCTGGACTCTCCAGGCCTCTGTCCTGGTAAACAGGGACCTGGAAGGGGCCTGGTAGGCTCAGCATGGCTTCCAATGCAGGCATTGCCCAGAAAGGGGTGTTCCGGCCAGGGCCCCAGGCCTGTCTCAGACCTGGCACAAGAAAGACCTGGCCTTTACCCAGACGACTCTGACCGGGAACCTAACCGGATGGGTTTCCAGGTCTCACGAGCAAGGTGATGGCTCCCCAAGGTGGTGGCAGCTCTGCACGCCCCAGGGCTGGGAGGCACTCTCAGGACTGGGCTCCTCATACTGAGGGCAGGGCAGTGTGGTCCCCTGGACACACCCTGGGAACAGGGGCAGCAGTTATGACCCACTCTGGAGACCACTTGATTGGCCACCTAATGTTGCCACTCTGTCCAGAGAAGGGGGGACACGCTCACAGAGAGGAACACGGTAGAGTGATGCCCATGAGGCAGGGTCCTGGTTACAGCTCTAGCTTTCACAGCCACTTCTGTTTTTTGAGACCCACTTTCTTCACCTTCAAGGGGCACTTGGCCAAGTGATTTTTGACATTCAGAGTCAAAGACTGTTATTCAAACCATTAGCCACTTATTCCCATTTTTCTCCTCCATAGAGTCCCACCTGGCTGCCTGAGGCCAGAGGAAGTGGGATTGCAGGGGACGCATGGGGGCGGAGCCCGTGTCCAGGGCTGGGGTGTGCTGGGCTGAGCTACCCTGGGTGTGGCCGGGCTTCAGGGCCGGATGCACCATGGGGCAGGGGGTGGGGCTCCAGGCCTATCTGCCCTCTCCATGCACCCTTTGGAACACTGTTCATAAGATACCAAGAGAGAAGAGGGTGAGGACAAGGAAGGCAGGGACACTGCTATTCAAATGAAAACCTTGGTGAGAAAGTTTGAGGGCCCCTGAGGATGATGGCGAGAGGAGGGAGGGGGGCTGGAGCTGGTTACTGGGGTTAGGAGACCAGAGACAGGCCCCCACCAGAGATGAGGCCGGGCCAGGGGCTGTGACAAACCGCCCCCTGACTGGTACTGAGAGAGCCGAAGGGCCGCGAGAAGAAGAGGAAGTGAGGAGGGCTGCGTGCGCCCTCAAAGCTGCTGCTCGGCCTTTCTCGCGGGGAGCAGCTTTGCCAACAGTAGGAAGGTCAACAACTGGCAAAGGGAAATTTGCTCTCGAGTTTCCTCCACTGAAAAACCACAGGACTCCAGTGGGGCCAGCGGGAAGGAGAAAGCAAAGTCCTCGTGCTGCTCAGGCCTTGACCTGAGAATCTGTGAAGCACAAGAGGCGGAGGCCGCCAGGGTGTGTCAAGAGCCCCAGGCCTTTCTCCCTCCACCTCCGTCTGCTCAGCAACTGGGAAGCAAAGAGCGAGCTGCAGTGCTCCCTGCCTGTCCTGCAGGAGCAGCTGGCGGGAGGAGCGGACCACAGCTGGGCTCTCAGTCTCAGCCCCGCTCCTCCGCACCAGGCTCCTGGGTGCCAGGGCGGCCAGGCTACCGCTGTCTCCCCTCGCAGCTGCGGGATGCCTACCCTCAACAGTCAGTCCTTCGTCCCTTCACAGGCGACTGCTAGTGCCTGAGCTGGCTCTGCTGCAGAGTGTGGCAGGGGGCTGGGATGACAGGGCTGCCAGTCTGGGTGGGGGAGGGCCAGGCCCTGCACCGAGAGCTGCAGAAAATCCGGGCAGAGCAGGGACACGGTCTGAGTGGTGAGGCGGGTGGAGGCAGGGGTGAACTCTGGCATGACGAGTGACTATGTGAGTGTGTTAAGTGGCTGGGAGTGGGATGGATTTCCAAATGCAAGAGTGGCAGTGACAAGTGTGGATGCTGGCATTCACCAGGTCAGTGGATAAAGGACTAAGGAGACATGCAAAGGGGTGATGAGATTGCAGTGAACCGGGGACAGTGCAGGAGTGCCACCAGGTGGTGCAGGAGTGCCGCCAGGTGGCCGGGGGCGTGAGCAGGGGCGGGGCCGTGTGAAGTCCAAGAGCCCAGGCGGGGGCGGCCGGGGTGCCACAACCTGGTCTGGAGCGGGCTGCTCTGCCACTGGGAAACCCAGGAAGTGGGGGTGCCCAGGCCCCAGGTGGAGAGGTCTGGGCCCCTGAGCTCTGCGCTGGGGCTCCCAGAGGGGAGCCCCCTGCGGCGGGCAGGGGCGGCGCCCCAGCTGACTGTCTCTTACCTTTGGTTTTAAAAGCAAAGTGACAGTGCTCGCACACATAGGGCCGGACGTCAGTGTGGGTGCGGATGTGTTTCTTCAGCATGCTGGGCTTCTTGCAGCGAATTCCACACTCCTCACAAACATACTTCCCTCGGCCGCGGCCTCGCACATACACATACTCTTCGTTTGATTTGTACCTATGAGCAACAGGCGTCATGGTAAAGGAAACAGAGGAGCAGAAGAGGCAGGTCCCCACCTCAGAAGATGCGCGAGCCTCCGGGTGGCATCCGGCCGTCACAGACGCTGGGAGAGGAGGACGCGGAACCGGAGGAAACCACGGTGGGGGATGAGGGGCAAGTCGCCCCGGGGGATCCAGCTCGGACCCCTGCACCTGCCCTGCTCCTCAGACTGGGGGGGCTGCCCCTCCGTCCCCCGCAGCAGCAGCAGACCCCGGTGCTGCCTGCGGGGGCAGTGAAGCCGCAGCTTCGCAGGGGGATCTCCGTTCCAGAGCCAGCCGGGCACCAGCTTCTGCCCACAAAGAACAGCCACTCTGGGCCACCAGAGGAACAACGAGAGTAACGAAAAGGTAACAGCCACGGCTCTAGCAGCTACCGTTTACGTCTAGCTCAGTCTGCGCTGGGTACTTGACCCGAATCGTACCACGATCTCGAGGAAGAACTCGTAAGGGCCTGAGGCTCCCACAGCCAGGAAGAGACAGAACTGGGATCCGAACCCGCCTGCCCCCAAGCCTGTCCTCCTCCTGCAAGGGGCACAAGTGCTGACGAGTCTGCTAGGAAGCCACCCAGACGCTCGTGTGAGGGGAGCGGGGAGGGGTGGCCGTCATGTCTCTGTCCTCGGAATTTAGAAATCAGGCGCCCTGCACTCTCTCTCCCACCTCATCTCCGAGAGCCAGCAGCTCTCGGCACCCAGATTCCAGCCTGCAGGGAGCACGTGGCATCACAGTGGGAAGTGCCAGAGGATTGCAGGAGCCTCCTGAGGTGGCTGGCCCACCTGATGGGCCTCGGGGATACCGACTATGATGACACCGTTGGACCTGAACCAGATGCTCTGCTGTCCACTGAGAAGGAAACCCACGAGGCTCACTCAGTGCCACCCTCACCAAAACGCCTTCTTGTCTAATGCCTCGGGTATGCGAGTCCCCTGAGCAGGAGGGGACGGCTGCAGTGTCAGAGAAGCCCAGGGAGGGGATCCGGCTCAATCCCAGAAGAGCTCCCTGGTGCGTGAGGCCTGGAGGTGCCCGCACGGCTGCCTGGAGGGCAGGGTGGCCTCTCAGCCCGCTGAGCCCGCCTCCTGCGTCCGGCCAGAGGCCCGCCTGGGTCCCCATTCACCCCTGCCACACCCCCCACCCAGGCGGTTGGAAGCTCAAGCTCCAGGGACAGGCGCGGAGGGGCAGGCAGGTGGCTGGGGGGCCGTGAGGGAGTGACAGCAGCTGGGACCCAGTCCTGCTCCGCGGGGGCCGTCGGCTCACCCTGAGAAGACATCACAGGGGCCCCGGGGGTGGGGGGGGGCGGCTGGCAGGCAGCGACACGGCAGCCACTGTCACACACTCCCACACTCACACACACCGCCTCCCACTCTCACACTCAGACACACACGCGCTCCCTCACTGACAAATCACACACACAGACGTGAACTCACACACACCCACACCCACTCACACCCCACATACTGTCATACAAACACGCACTCTCACACACATGCATTCATACATACACCGCTGTCCGTGAGTACAGGTGGATCCTGTTTCTGTCACCTCGGCTTCGGCCAGCCGATGCCTCTGACGTCGTCTAACCCCCTTTCCTCCCCTCACGGGCCCTGTCTGACGGTTCGGGCGCCCAGTCCTCAGGTTGGGGGGGCAGGGGGCCAGCTTCTCCCCTGATCCCAGGCAAAGCACCACCTCGTGCTCGGCGGGTCCACGACATCCCATCCGCTCCAACCTCCAGCTCAGTGGCGACCTGCAGCGTTCCCCTTCCCTTCACGCTGCCGCCGCCACCATAGTGGGCTCCATGAGGCCCCAGCCCCCCTGACTTCCACCATGTTTGGGCTTCGCTCTGTACACCAGCCAACCCAGAAGCAGGCGCGAGAGCCCACCTAGAGTATGATTGCTCTGGGACCCCTCACCTCTTCCCCATAGCAAGCTTATGCCACCCAGTCCTCCCAAATGGAGACACGCGCACCCAGAGAAGGGACCCCGAGCCTTCAGGGTGGCGGCCTGACTTGGTGCCGGAGACCTACCACACACCGTGAAGAGCGTGCACAACCTGCACAGGAGCTCGAGGGGGGGCCTGGGCTGGGAGGGACACGGGAGGACAGTGAGAGGTGGTGGGAGCAAGGGAGGACCCCGGGTGGGGACCCCAGAAGCAAAGGCAGGGGCATCCGAAGGCCTGGAAGGTTTGATGATGGGTGAGAGAGGGTGAGGTCGGACGGGCCGGGTCACCGCCAGCCTCGAGCGCCACACAGAGCAGCGATGTGTCTGGCCCCGAGGGGTGGTCTGGAGGAGGAGAGACTCGGAGTGCGAGCCCTGGGTGCGTGTTCTTGGACAGGGACGTGAGAGGTGCCTGGGCGTAGAGCCCACAGGCCCGGGGCTGCTCGATAGGGCAGGGTGGCAACGAGGGAGAAACAGAGACCCCGAGCTTTCACCTCGGGGAGCTGACACGGCAGCACCCGCGGGCTCGGAGGGAAGCGAGGCAGGACCTCATCCTTCACTGCTCGGTGCGCGATGCCCCTGAGAAAGACTTGAAGAAGTGTCCAGCGCACAGCGGACATCTGTGGGACGCAGGACGGGGCGTGTGGGTGTTCGTGAGGAGGAAGGTGACCACCCGGGGGGACACATGCGAGCAAGAAGAGGACAGTGGGAGGGGCGGGCGGGCACCCGAAGGTAAGAGTGAGCAGACAGATGGCACCAAAAGCCCACCCCAAGCGGGGATCTCTGGGTAGGGAGCCAGGAGAACATGTGACTCAAAGGAGGCAGCAGCCAGCCGTCAATGCCATGGAAACCTGAGGGGATGGCCACTGAGGGGCCCCATGACCCACAAAGCACCACACGGCTTGGACGGCCCACAGCCTGGGACTCCTCTGCTCCCTGCAGGCCGGCACCGGGGTTTGTATCACTTTGTGCTTTCCAAGGGGCACTGTCCAGCAGGTGCTGGACCCTCCTCTGGCCTAAGGCCAACTTCCATCACCTCAGGATCAGCCCCTCCTGCCTGTGCAGAAGCCCTGCCTTTTAAGCCCCCCACCCCCTTCCCTGGCAGCTTTGGGGCCTCCCTCTTCTGGTACATTCCACCATCATGGACACAAACTCAGTTTTCTCCCATAACCAACCAACTAACTCCAAAGCCTCCTTGGACTCCAGCCCACTCTCTGCTCCCCTTCTTAGTCCAGGTCTGGAGACAGCTGTCCCTGACTCCTCACCACCCTACTCCCAAGCCCACTGCAGCCCGGTGCCCCTGGCTGACCTGTCTTTGCCAAGGTCACAGGTTGCTAAATCCAAAGGACAGCTGCCTTAGCCAGCCCCTCTCCCCGGCTTTCTGGAGGCACGTGCTTGGGGTGGTGACCTCTGTTCTCTCCTTACTGGGTCTCCTTTGCAAGCTCCTTCTTTGTGCCCCTTTTCCCATGCTGATGTTCCCCAGGCCCCGGCCTGCACCCTCTCCCCTCACACCTTCCCCTAGGGGAGCTTCCCCTGCACAAGGCCTGACTTTCCACCTGGACCTTGACAGCTCCAGTCTTCTCTCCAGCTCTGACCTCTCTGCTGTACATCCACCTGCCCCTGCAGGATCTCTGCTGGTGGTCTTCAGGCGCCTCATGCTCCATGTGCTCAGAACCATGTTTCCATGTCCCCCACCTGTACCACCTATGATACTGCTGGGTCCCCGTCTCGATGAGCGGCACCCCCACCCCATGGCTGGCCAGGCCAACATCTTTGGCGCCTCCACTTCCTTCACTCTTCACGTCTGTCTGCGCCATCACCACACCTGCCAAGGTGCGCTCCATCCAAGGAGGCCCGCCTCCCTGCCCCCGCTGGCCAAAGCCACCACCCCTGTCCCACACCACTGCATCCTTGCTGCACAGAACTGCCAGGGGCCTTCCCCGAACACATGGGCCCTGCCAATCTTCCCAGACCCCTCCTAGTCTCTCAGAACAGAGCTCTGTCCGCTCCCCCGCAGTGGGTACAGAAGGCCCAGGGCACCACCTGGCCCAGCAACCCCTCCAGCTCGTCTCTCACCGATTCTCACGACCCCCCACCCCCTGCTGCACCCCCCACCCACCATGCCGCACTCACCCAGTGCCTCAGAGGCGTTTCCCACTGGCCTTCCGTCTGCCCCGGCACCACCCACCGCCCTCTTCCATCTGACCAGCTCCTCTGCAACTCCGGGGCTTCACCAAAGGCCCTTTCTTCCGAGCTCTCCCCACACCCCCAGGCCCGTGGGCAGCACACACCTGTCAGGCCGTGTGCACTGTAATGGCCTCTTCACACACAAGTGTGTCCCCACTGTCCCCACAAGGAGGGCCCCCGAGTACCGCACTTGCTGGTGTGTCCCCAGGGCCTGGACACACCAGCAGGACACCCAGCAAGTGCTCAGTACTCGTCGGCGGTGCAGAGGAAAGCCAAGCCGGGCCTTTTTTCCCCAGATCTGCCGCAGTCAGTTTCGCAGCCTTGACGTTCGCAGTCCCTCAGCACCGGATGCTGTGGGCTTCCCAGGGGCACAGCACAGAGCCAGCATCTCCTGACCGAGATGGACGGGCGGTCACCCCCCACAGTCTGGTAGAAACGGCTCTGCTCACTGGGCAGCAGTCAGAACGGGGCCTGGGCTGGAGTTCTCGCTTCTTCATGAGCTCATGGGTGACCTTGGGCAAGTCACTCCCCCTCCCTGGAAACAGTCAATCTTCGTTCCTTTTAAACCCACTGAGTGCCTCCCACACCTGACATCATTCAGAGCTCCCATAAACGCGTTACTGTTGTCCCCGTTTTCCATAAAAGGGAACCAAGGCCCAAAGAGTTGAAGTGACGTGGCCAGGATCACCCGGTCAGCCACTTTTGCACTCAGCACCTTTTTGCTGCACAGACTTGCCGTAGAAATACTTTTAGATGATGCAGACCGAGGTTTCCTTAACACTTCTCTTCTCCAGAATCCCCAAAGGGAGGCCTGCAATGCCACGGGCCAGGCCTTCCTGAAAG